AGGTACCAGTTTATGTGTTGCATTGCATACTTGATTGCCATTTACTTATTTATCTGCTGTGATATTCTATAATTGTTTTTCATTAGTTTATTGAGTTGATATTATTTAGATTGAGCTGCTGTAATTATAGCTTACTTTGTGCCTGTCCAGGATTTCTTACTCTCAACCCTTATTTATGTTTATTACTTTCTGGGTTGGAAGTACTCACAATACTCCCTGCACCTTGTGTGCAGATTCAGGTACACCACAGGGTGAGTGAGGACTTGTTTAGCAGAGCAGCATTTATCCGGGAGTATCGAGGTAGCTGCATGGCGTTCGCAGCCTTGATCTCTCCCATCCATTTTATCCTTTTATTCGTATTTTGCCTAAACAGACTTGTGATAGGTGAATCTTCCGTTTTAGAGGCTCATGTTCGTGACACCAGATCTGTGGGCTATTTAGTATTTTATCTTGGGATTTTCGAATGTTAGAAATTATTTCAGAGATTCCGCATTTAAATTGCGGTTTTTATTTATTTATTTGTGAATATTGCTTTATCCATCTAGGTTAATTGGTTAAGGTTGTGTAAATGGTCGGGCTTGCCTAGCAGTGTGTTGGGCGCCATCACGACCGGGGTTGGGGTCGTGACAAAATTAAGCGTGGCAAAAATCACGTGCTCACACATGTAATTAATTTTCATTTGATTTGAATAAGCAATATCAAATTTAGACAATATATTTACGTACATTGATCTAATTACACTAAAAATAGATAAATAGAAAAGTTGTATATTTAATGGTCTAATACTATTTTAATAACTTAATAACTATCATACTCTAATAAAACACTAAAATGAAGAAGTGAATATAATTGAAACAAGAGTAAATAACAAAATTAACAATATCGTATAGGACGAAAAAAATTATAAAGAATATAATATATTATAGAATATCTTTATTTCATGTATTTTACTTAGTGTAAATTATGTACTTAATCGTTTGCATTTTTCCTAGATAATTTTCTTACTTACTTATATATGTTAGTACTTACATTTCTCTCATTTATGGTATTTATATTAAGTAAGAAATAAAAGGGAGCAAATAATATATTAAGAAAACGAAAAGAAACATAAAGGCCAATTGGCCCAAACCAAAATCCCCTAGCTAATAAAACCCCTTCAAACTCACTTTTGTGCGTCACCCCCTTCCCAGCCGCCTTGTCACGACCCTAGTTCACCAACCGTGAATATGTCATGACGGCACCTGGTCCCCATGATCAGGTAAGCCTAACATTTGCGGAAATATAATAATTGCAAAAAAATAGAGAAAATCAAATTAAATATTTAAAGGAAACTGTACTGAATGCCGCTTGGCAAGTACAACCCAATATCACAAGTCTAAAACAATTCCCAAAATCCGAAAACTCACGGGCAACACAGGCTACAGAAGTGTATAGTAAAGGTTCCAAGCTCCAGAATTTCTAACAACCGAAAGAAGGAAAACTAAGTACTAAAGATAGAGTAAGAGGGAGACTCTTCGGTCTGCGGACGCAACAGATCTACCTCGAAGTCTCCGTAGTCCTCCTGCCTCACTGATAGTGCGCCTGAGTGGAGGTACCTGGATGATCTGCACATGAAAAACATGCGCAGGAAGGGAATGAGTACACCACAGCGGTACTCAGTAAGTGCCAAGCCTAACCTCGGTTGGGTAGTGACGAGGAAGGTCAGGGCCCTACTGAGACAAAATATAATAATAAAAATAATTTAACAATATAAAAATCTGACAGATATAATAAGTACAGCAGTGAGATAAGACAAGTCAACGAGGTAATAACAACTACAAAAGACAGAGTAAACACAGAGTAAATACAGCTCAATGTCAATGATACCAATGAGGATCTCCCAGGATACCGTCCTGTAGCCCTTTTGTCAACTGTCCAGTGGATCTCCCGGGATACCGACCCGTAGTCCAACTATCAATGTGCAGGGGGATCTATCGGGAATCTAACCCGCAGTCCCAAAGTAAAAGTGCAGGGGGATCTATCGGGAATCTAACCCGCAGTCCCAAAGTAAAAGTGTAGGGGGATCTATCGGGAACCGGAAGNACAAATTTCGAACTAGGACTGTTTCGGACTGTATTGGACTGTTAAATCTGAGCTTGAGTTTCTTCATTCTAGATAATAGCCCTAGTAGCAGCGTAACTCGAATTCATATTCATTAAAACTTGAAACTGACGTTAAGACCATAAAGTATACCATATCACTGTCAAACTCAGGCCTAATAAGTGTTTTAGTAACGCAGTATTTTATGTTTTGACACCAGTGAGTTGATTTGAAGATCAGAGGAATAGATATTTTAAATTGGCAAAGCTTGTTTGTTAATAATTACTGTGATCTAGTTAATAATTATTTTAAATTGGCTCAGCTTGTTTGTTATGTTCTCTAGTCAACTTAGTTAATAATTACTGTGCTCTAGTCATTGCTTCCTAACTTCGCAGTAATATGTTTAGTTATATATAAGCTTGGGCATAAAAATAGAATCAAAGCCCAGACAGTTTGGGCTTCAATACCCTAACGAGTGGCCCAGGTCTTGTCCGGACTTATGTGTTCGTTCAGACCTGGACCCGGGCTGATGACTGGTCCACTTTTGCATAGGACCTGGGCTACGTTCTTTTCACGGGCCGTTTTCAGGCCCAAAATGGTTGAGGATCTGAATTTATTGAGTTCATGGACCCAAATGCAGTAATTCTTAAACATTGTTAATTATTTTAGGACGATTTCTTTTATTTTTAGAGACAAATAAAAATAGAAAATTATAGTTGCTTTAGGATTAGCCTTGTAAACAATAAAACGAGATGAGCCTCGCTAAACGAAACATAGATAAATTGCGGGGCCCTCGATAAATATTTTTACTAAAATATTTAGACCTCGGGACGTGCCATTTAGTGAATTTCATGGCTTCCCCAAAGTTAATAATACGCTAGTGGTTGTAGGCTCGGCATTTAATAATATTACCTTCTTAAACCTGGGTGCACATTTATGTGACCCAACTCCAAATCCCAACGGAGTCGAAATGTGCTAACAATCACGGGTGCACTGGTGCGACGTGGTTTGAGGCGCATTTCCACGACGTTGCAATTCGTTTAAAATCGAACAAATAAAAAATGAAAGCGGTTTATTAATAAGAGCACATTTCGAAATCAGATAAAATCAAATACAATAGTTGAGCGACCGTGCTAGAACCACGGAACCCGGGAATGCCTAACACCTTCTCCCGGGTTAACAGAATTCCTTACCCGGATTTCTGGTTCGCTGACTGCTAACAGAGTCATAATTTCCTCGGTTCGGGATTCAATAGGTGACTTGGGACACCATTAATTTCCCAAGTGGCGACTCTGAAAATTTAATAATAAATCCCGTTCCGATTGTCACTTCAAGTTGGAAATAACTCCCTTTATTATTTTATATTATAAAAGGAGGTGTGACACATAATATACTGAAAATTGGAGCACATGTGTATTAACTTCCAGCATATTATGCTGGACCGGTATATTATATTGGAACTCCAGTATATTATGCTGGAAGTCCAGTATAGTATACTGGAGTATTTTCCAGATTTTGAACAGTGTTTACGTTCAGATTTATCTTTACATGAAAAATTGCTAAATTTCGATTACTTTTGAAACTGTGGCTATTTTTGAATGACCACTTGTAAATCTGGCTATTTTTGAATTTCTCCCTCTTCATATTAGATTAAATTAAAAAATAGCCAGATTTACAACTGGTAATTAGAAAATAGCTACAATTTCAAAAGTAATCGAAATTTAGCCACTATTCATGTAAAGATAAATTTGAACAAAAATACTATTAAAAATCCGAAAATATTCCAGCATAATATGCTAGAGTTCGAATTTTTTACATATGAATTTCCAGCACAATAAGCTGGAATTTTATAATGTGATGGAGTTTCATCATAATATGCCTGAAGTTTATATGTAGGAGTCCCATAATCCAACATATTATGTTGGAAGTTTATACGCAGGAGCTCCATAATCCAGCATATTATGATGAAACTTTTCGTGTTTCAATAAAACAATGGCTATTTTTCAATGAATTTGCAAATACTGGCTATTTTTCAATTATCAGTCCGAAAACTATCTAGCCCGTGCTATTTTGACCTTCATATTTGGTTGTTAACAACTCCAACATAGCTTTAGGGATAATGTGTGCTAGCTAGCTACTTTTTAGCCTTGTAATTGAAATATAGTCACTATTATGACCTTCAAATTTGATAGGTAAAATTTCAGGATATTGTCACGGAGTTCACCTATAGAATTTGAATCTTCATGACATTGACTATTTCTCAATATCCAACATAACTCTAGGCCTGAAAGAACGAGCTTTTGTTAAACGGACTGGAGTTTCAATTGGGCTTAGAACTTTATCAATAGGCCCAAGCAGCAGGTGTCGATTTTCTCTTTTTGTGTTTCTTTGGTCCTTTATTACACTCATTAGATGTGAATTTGAACTGGAATCTGGTGTCACCTATGTATCACATGATTGATCTTTTTTTCTTCCTTTCTGAATTGTTCAAACTTGTAAAAGTTAATTGGTGGAGCAGTAAACATTTATGGACATTCCAAAATAAAAGAATCTAAAAGAAATGAAATGGAAAGAGTAGTGCGTACGGAAAGTTCAGTATAAAAGTAATTGCTGATTATTTACGATAGTTCGCTTTACATATATAATTGATTGTGTTATAAAACTTCATTAGAATGTTATTGTACAGAGACAGTAATCTTTACTGCAGGAAAAAGGAAATATTGCAGGACCAACAAATGAAGATCATCACCAAAAAAGCAAAATAAACGAAGTTTTTTTTATTTTTATATATGAGTCAACCAAATTATCCAACAATAACAACTACTATGTCTCGTGATAAATCCTTACTGATAATTATCCTTGTGAAAAAAACAAACAGAAGCCAATATCAGGCAAAGATTAAAATTGCCACCATACAATTACTAAGGATCAGTAGCATTTGAGCCCGTGGTCTGTGCTGGAGAATCAGCTGCCGCAAGTTCACGAAATTTAACGAAGAAATACCCCAAACCATGGCCTAAGATTGCAACAACGAAAATTCCAACGTTGAAGGACATAACAGCAAGCATAACAAAATAAACAAGAACCATTCGAACAGTATAATAAATCGAAGACTTAATCAGTCCACCAACTATAGGATTCATACTCTTCTTGATTTTCAGGCCCATCGACAAAATCTCGACAGCAAAGGCCATAAAGAAAACAAAGAACAAAGACAATATGTACATGCCTAGGTTATTATCTGGCCAACCTTTGAATAAAATCGTCGCGTTTTTCCCCCAGTAGAAATTCATCTGCATGACCATATTGCCCATGTTCATCATCATCATAGTATCATTGGACATAGTCATATTGTGCATGACCATGTTTTCTTGGTCGTGTGTGTGAGACATTTTAGGAAATTAGAATGAAAGAAAAATTACTTTGTTAGAAAGAACACACAAAGATGAATTCTTTGATTTTAGGAGTTGTGAGTGTTTAAATTTATTTGTGAGAATCATTTTTAGAGTGGGGGGAAAAACAAAGATGAAAATGACTATATTGCTAGTTTGTTTTATGTTAATTTGGAATGGGCAAGGGAGAATATATTATTTGCTGGAGCCAGCCTAAATGGCAGAGAAAGACAACAGCGTACGTTATCTTTCGTTGTTGAAATGTTAATTTTGGATAACAATCTGCATCGTTTGAATAAGTTACAGATAGACAACAGTGTCCAATTGAAGTAAATACTCTGTCCGGTCTACTTTAATTGATTTTTTTGACTGTTTTCACACATATTAAGTAATTCATCTTTTAATATTAATTAACAATTAAATTGACCATATTAGCCTTAATTTTGTTCATTAGAAATATAACAAATACTTTTAGGCTCTTTACTCCAATGGCATCTTTAAAAAAAGAGTTAATTTTCTTCTTGATATGTAAAAAAATTTAAATATTGTGAACAACAAAAAAGGCAAAAAAATCTATTAAAGTGCATCGAAGGGAGTAACTTTTCTCACAAAATCAAATAGTCGTGCTATTATAAAGTACCAAAGGTGCGCCAGTAGGAATGGCAAGGGGCGGGGCGGGGCGGGGCGGGTTAAAACAGTTTTTAAAATTTTTAAAGCGGGGCAGGGCGGGACGGGTTGCGGATTCAATGCGAGGCAACTTTGAATTTTATTTTTTCTGAAACAAAGCAATCATTTCAACTACAATTTCACATTCTTTTTTTCTAGCAAAACTGCTTTTTTGATTTATAATGAACCAATTTGCATAAGTCTTAACAAAATGGTATTACTTAGATCAAGATAGCGTATTAGAAATAGGAATTATAGTAACCCATTTATTTTGGAAGATCGGCGTAATACTTTTTTAGTTTTATGTTTATGTGATTCTATTAAACTGTTGCGTATTTTAACAATGGAGGTTGAAATTGGAAGTGAATCTAAGAGATTAGGGAGAAGAATAATTTCTGAACAATACACTTCAATATTTGTAGATAGTTGAGACTAAGAAGAAGAGAGAGAAGTTTATTGATCCATCATATCCAGCCCTTTACAACATATATGTATTTATAGCTCTTCTTCTACTGCTGAGCTTCACTTACAGATTCTAATAGACTAACCACCTTTGACCTCCCTAACCGTATAACTGCTTTAGAGTGAAATGTCTATACTAACCCTTCTAACTATTTAGCATATAACAAATACCCCCTAAGAGTCCTTGTCCTCAAGGATAAAGTGAGGAAACTAATGTTTGAAGGTAGTAGCATCCACCCAAGTGCTATCCTCAGTAGGACAATTAAATCACTTCACCAAATATTATTGACACTGCCTGTTGTGCTTGGTAATCAATCTGGTTTCAAGTATTCTCTCAGAATCCAAGACAATGTGACCATGAGAAGAAAGTGAAACTGGTAAATCAGATATCACTGGGTTGGAACCAACATATCTTTTAAGCTGGGAAACATGGAGTGTGGGATGTATTTTAGCATGAGGTGGTAGCTGGAGCTGGTATGCAACATATCCAATCTTCTTGAGCACTTGAAAAGGACCAAAATATTTGGGGCTGAGCTTGTGATAGGAGTGAGCTTTGAGGGACATTAGTGTGTAAGGTTGCAGCCTTACAAAAACCATGTCTCCCACTGCAAATTCCCTGAATGATCTCTTCTTATCTGCCAAAGCCTTCATTCTGGATTGAGCTAGTGCAAGGTGGTGTTTCAATAGCCTTATGGTTCCTTCTCTAGCCTGTAAGCTTCTATCAACTTCATCCACCATGGAACTATATGGAATATAAGGCATGTGTAGGGGAGGCTTTTGACCATAGAGCACTTCAAAAGGAGTCAGCTTAGTGGAAGAATGATAAGTGGTGTTATACCACCATTCAGCTAAAGGCAGCCAATGAGCCCAATCCTTGGGTCTATCTGTGCACATACATCTAAGGTAACCTTCCAAACACTTGTTGACAGCTTCAGTTTGGCCATCGGACTGTGGGTGATAGGTTGTGGAATGATGTAATTGGACACCTTGGACTTCAAAAAGATACTGCCAAAACTTGCTCAAGAACACAACACCCCTGTCACTCACGATGGTTTGGGGAAGGCCATGAAGTTTGTAGATGTGATCTAGAAAAGCTTGGGCAACTGAAGCTGCAGTATAGGGATGTTTCAGGATTATGAAGTGAGCATATTTGCTCAGTCTATCCACTACTACCATTATCACAGATTTACTATGTGATTGTGGTAGCCCCTCAATGAAATCAATGCTAATATCCTGCCACACCTTTTCTGGAATAGGCAAAGGTTGCAGTTTCGCTCTTCAAACTCTCCCCTTACACCTTTGACATACTTCACAGCTCTTGATGTATTCAAAAATGTCTGTTTTCATCTTTTCCCAGTAATACAATTGGCTTACCCTTTGTAAGGTGGCAATCATACCTGAATGACCTCCTGTGGCCCCATCACGTGGGAATTGTAAAATTTGCTTCCTTAGATCTTTGCAAGGGCCAACAACTATCTTGCTTTTCCTATATAACACACCATCCTTTAACATATATATGGTCTTAGCTAAAGGGTCCTGTTATAGCTGTTGAAGGAGCTGCTGTAGATGAGGATCAGTTGTATAGGAACTTTTGATCTGCTCTAGAAAGTCTGAGGATACACAAGAGAGTGTCATCAGTTGTGCATCAAACTTGTCATCAGTCTTGGGTACTCTAGATAGGGCATCAACTACCAAGTTGTCTTGACCCTTTTTGTAGGTGATTGTATAGTCATAGTCCATCAGTTTGTCCAGCCATTTCTGCTGACTAGTAGTAGAGATCCTCTTCTCCATTAGGTAATTCATGCTCTTGTGGTCTGTCTTGATTGTAAAATGTCTGCCTATGAGGTAAGGCCTCCAGTTCTGTACAGCTGCTACACTGGCCATCATCTCCCTCTCATTTATTGGATAGTTGCTGATGTCTGTCACTCAGAGCCTTACTCCATATATGCTAAAGGGTGGCCTCCCTGCATCATAACAGCTCCAATACCCACCCCACAAGCATCAGTTTCAATAACAAATTTCAAGGAAAAATTAGAGAGTGCAAGAACAAGAGTTGTACTCATTGCTATTTTGAGTTGTTCCAAAGTTGTATTTGCCTTATCAATCCATTCAATTTATCCTTCCTTAACAATTCAGTCAAGGGTCTTGCCAATACTCCATAGCCTTTAATAAATCTTCTATAGTACCCTGTCAATCCCAAGAATCCCCTTAATTCTTTCACTATTTTTGGTGCTAGCCACTCTACCGTGACTTTAATCTTTCCTGGTTCAGCTGTGACCCCATATTTTGTGATGATATGACCTAAGTATTCTACCTCAGATTGACAAAATTGGCATTTGCTCATCTTAACAAACAAAGAGTTTTCTTTGAACACATCAAAAGCTTTCTGTAAGTGTACCAAGTGGTCAGACCATGAGGAGCTGTATACTAGTATATCATCAAAGAATACCAAAATAAACTTTCTTAAGTATGATTAAAAGTCTTTGTTCATTAAACTCTAAAATGTGGATGGAGCATTAGTCAGGCCAAATGGCATTACCACAAATTCATAGTGACCATTATGGGACCTAAATGCATTCTTTTCTATATCTTTTTCATGCATCCTAATTTTATGGTATCCAGATCTTAGGTCCAGTTTTGAAAAGTATTTAGCCCCTCCCAGTTCATCTAGAAGCTCTTCAATCACATGTATTGAAAATTTATCTTTTACTGTATGATTGTTCAATTGTCTATAATCTATAGATAGCCTCCAAGTACCATCTTTCTTTTTGACCATGACTATAGGGGAAGAATAGGGACTTACACTTGGTCGAACAAACCCTGCATCGAGCATTTCCTGAATCATCTTTTCAATCTCATCTTTTTTGTTTGCTGGATATCTGTAAAGTCTCACATTTACTAGTGGTGTCCCTTGCTTCAAGATGATCTTATGGTCATGATCTCTGTGAGGAGGTAAGATATTAGGGGTTGCAAATAACCCTGAATATTGGTCCAGCAATCTTTGTTGTTCCACAGGTACTTCAACTTGCTGAGAGCTGAAGCATGCTACTCCTCTACTATCTGGTTGTACATCAGCTACTAGCATCATACTCAGGCTGCCAGTCTTATTCAGTAGCTTCTCCATTTTTTGATCTCCAATTAATTTGGATGTGCCTGGTTGACTGCCTCTCAATGAAACCTTTTTGCCTCCTATTGGAACTCCATCTTCAGTTATATTCCCTAGTGTAATGAGACATTGAATGCCCAATACCACATCAGCACCCCTAGTGGCATGACTAACATGTCAGCATTGAATAATACCCTTTGCATCCTCCATGCTACTCCTTTACTCATGAAATAGTTGTGCACCTTACTTCCATTGGCTACTGACACTGAGAAGGTGGGAATAGTGTCCACTTGGCATCCGAGTTTCTTCGCAATGTCAATGTCCATAAAGTTATGTGTCGAACCAGAATCTATCAACACACGGACCATTTTTCCTCTTATGCCCCCTTTCACTCTCATAGTTATGTAGTCTACAGTTCTATCAAGAGCATGAACTGCATTTGAGGACTATGATTTGAATCTTCACATGCTTCCTCTTCTATCACATACTCCTCCACTTCCCCCTTTCACCATCTTCCTCTACCTCTATAATAAACAACTGCTTTTGTTTCTTGCACACACGGCCAGGTGTGTATTTTTCATCACACCAGAAGCATAGTCCCTTTGCCCTTTTCTCATCCATTTCTGCACTTGTAAGCCTCCTTGATGACTTCACTGCTGGTCGTCCATAAGCATTAGGAGGTTTGCTT